TATATTTAAAATATCACAAATTATTTACGGAATCATTCCGTCGAGGTTTGTAATTGTTAGATCAACTATCCCCGACGGTTACATGATGATCCAACAATTACAAACTCCGACGGAATGATTCCGTAAAAACAGTAACATCATAGTTAGGTCTGCTTAAAGTCACTTTTGTGGAACTTCATTTATTGAATAATAGTGTTATGTTTTTTATATATAAAAATGTATAAAATTAATTAATTATTACACTGCTACATTTTGTTTTCTTGTGTGAAATAAATAAAAATAGAAAATATTCAAGTGGATGCCAAGAAAGTCCTATCTAATATGGAAGCAAACGAGGGAATTATGGGATTTGAAGCCCCTGATATCAACGCATTTGGTCATTCATTCAGGTTTGTATTCAACTTTCAATTATTATTATTATTAATATTATTATTTTTATTATTTTGTTTTATTTTTATTTTGTACCTTTCATTTTCAATTCCTTTTTAGTTATACATATTACTTGGACGAGAAAATGATATTAGACCGTGTTTAGTAAAACTAGCTGATATCTAGTTTATAGCTTATCAGTAATGTTTTTACCTTATAGCGTATATTTTGTCACTTATAGTTGAAAAACTAACTTATATGATAAAAGTATGGTAAAATGAGCTGATAAGCTAGCTGGATTAAAAAATTTAACTGACTTATTAGAAAAGTTACCTAAGTAAGCTTATCAAATAAAATCGAGCTTTTTAAAAAAGTTTTTCCTATCAAACGAGACTTATTTAAATACCGAGAGCTTATAAGCTAACCAAAAAACTATAAGCTAGTTTATTTGTCTATCAACCATGGCCTAAAGTACATTAAGGTTCATAATATTGGTATCATTATTTTTTAGCTACTCACATTACATTTGAATTATTATATTTTTTTAATTGTGATTAATGTATTTATATTTAAACTAAACACAGGGATGATTAATGTATTTATATTTAAAATAAACACAGGGATTATGATGCTGAAAGCGAAAGGCAGAAATCGGTGGAGGAGTTTTACAGACTGAACCATATTAACCAAACATACGACTTTGTGAGTAGCAATAAAAATTTCCAATTTTATTACTAATCAGACGTTAGTAACTATTATAGTATTCACTTACGAGCTGTCCCACATCGTTTATATAAGAAAAATATGTCTAATTTATTTAAATATATTTTTCTTATATAAACGATGTGAGACAGTTCACAAATTAATATTCTAATAATAACTTTTTCAAATTAATATTATAACTAATATACTTTTTTTTTTAATATTAATACCCAAATTCAGGTGAAGAAGATGAGAGAAAAATATTCGAAATTGGATAGAATAGAAATGAGCATTTGGGAATGTTGTGAGATGCTAAATGAGGTGGTTGATGACAGTGATCCTGATCTTGATGAGCCTCAAATCGAGCATTTGCTTCAAACTGCTGAGGCCATTAGAAAAGATTATCCCGACGAAGATTGGCTACATTTGACTGCCCTCATCCACGGTAATAATAATAAAAGAAAAAATAAAGGCAAATTTGCCCCTAATATCACGACTTTTATCGAAGTTGTAATTTAATAATGACATTTTCTTTTTGTAAATTATATCACAACTTTTAATTTGTTGCAAACAGTCTGAAAACGGTCATAGAAAATTGATATGGTCGAACAACAAACTGAAGATTATGATATAGTTTGCAAAAGTGAAAAAGTCATGATTATATTGCAATTTTTTTTAAATAAAGTCATGATATTAAACGCAATTTTGCCAAAAAAAATTACATTTCTAATATATATATATATATATATAT